TTCCCTGCACGCCAAAGAGTCCTGGGGTGTGAGGGATCAGCCACAATCTTCCCTGCACGCCAAAGAGTCCTGGGGTGTGAGGGATCAGCCACAATCTTCCCTGCACGCCAAAGAGTCCTGGAGGCGTGCAGCTCCTGGAGAGATTGCAGCCAATCACCTTCTCTGCAGAACGGAGGACACGCTGAAGTCTGCTCTTGTCCTTAGCGGTGGCACCAGCGTACCAGATGGTGATGGAGGAAGTGAGGATGGACTCAATGATGGAGAAATAGAACTGCACCATCATTGTCCTGGGCAGGTTGAATTTCTTCAGCTGCCGCAGGAAGTACATCCTCTGCTGGGCTTTTTTGGTGAGGAAGTCGATGTTCAGCTCCCACTCTAGGTCCTGGGAGATGATAGTTCCCAGGAAGCGGAAAGACTTCACAATGTCAATGGTGAAGTCACAGAGGGTGATGGGGGTAGCTGGGGCTGCGCTCTTTCTAAAGTCCACAACCAACTCCACTGTTTTTAGAGCGTAACAACAAAATGCCACAATGCAGATGCTTTGGTATCTAACAGGCTGCTAAAAAGGGGAGTACTATCACCTGTAGCTTTTGTCTTAAGGTGATACTGAATTGAAGCGAAATGAGTGTTTTGACCATGTTTTTATTGACCATCATGCATGCAGCTGATTTGCCTCTTTAGTGACAGCTTTAGATGCTGTTTGAATGTTACAAAATGATAATTATCATGAACTAAAATGTTCAGCTTTGTATTTAGTAGACTGTTTGTTATATATTTTAATTGAAGATACCCAGATCATCAAAAGGGACCTATGTGAAGATAAACAGTGCTAAAAGCCCTAAAATTTTGGGCTGAAACAATCAATCATATTAATCGGTTATTGAATTAATCTACAAATAATTTAGTAATTGATTAATTGTTTACTTGACTATAGAGGCTATAAAACATGCCTTTAGCTGACAGAGCAACCCACTTAGAGAAGGAATTACATCAAAATTGTAAAAAAAAAAAAAGATACATTTATGGCTGCAAATAATTAAGATTTTATAAAATGATTAATCTGTCAGTTATTTTTCTATTTTTTTTTCTGATTAATCAATTAATAATTGGATAGCCAAAAATATCATAAAGAATACTTTCATCTTTCAGGAGAGACTTTATGTGTGCCTTTATGGGCTGATCTTGAGATTGAAAGCACACTGGAGGCAGGGGAAGACTTGAGACAAGGTGAAATGTTAGGATAATTATCATTAAAGATGTGTGAGTTTATCACACCCCGGTATGGGCTGCCTGTTGCGCATCAGAACTAACATTTTAATCTAATTAGGACATTTCCTCTGTCTGGATATATGGTTATAAACTTCATTCTGTACATGGCAAAGATTTGGAAATGGAATTAAAGCGGTGTCCTATTTTGATAAGGCTGGAGCCATGGATGACTAATCATCTGCTAAGGTGTATAATGTAAAATATGATGATGTGGCAGACTGGAGATGTATAAAATGCCTTTTTAACTGTTAATCTGGCATACTTCCCTAGAGGTGAGCAGCCCACATTCTGTAACCATAAGCAATTTCTCTAATCTGAGTAAGATTACAATTTCTATCAAAATCTGTTGTCATGTCTCCTGGTTATTTAATACATATAAGTTATGAGGTGTTATTTAAAGAGTTTGTCCCGAGTGATCTCTTTTCAGGGAAAAGAACTGGAAAGATAGAGCTTTAGGGTGCTGAACAGAACCTTACCAACACCTAGAGCTGCATCATGATGGTTCAGATCAGTGTTTTAAATGGACCACTGATCTTGAAGTCATTTTGAGAAGAAAACAAACAGGAACAAAACACATTTTTGCAAACATACCCAGACATGCAGCTGTAACTTCAGGTTAAAGTTGTTCTACAAAATGCAAAGCATTGGTTGTGTTCTGTTTTTTAGTAAACAGTTATGCACTACTTTGCACCAATGCATTTCTCCACTGTGAGATCACTATATCTTTGGACATAATAGTTAGTGGTTGTTACATGACAAGATGAGAGGGGTAAAAAGGCAATGAAAGTTCTTGTTATTATCTTTATTACACATAATCAACACGTAAACAAACAAACTCACTCTTAACTGTATTTTGTTTCAAAAAATGTGAGCCAAGTGTTACCAGTTAGTCTCCGCCCCTCATTTCTGTGGCTATGTTGTTGGCCCAAAAACTTGAAGATACGTCGGGACCTGGTGCAAATTGGACCTCTGATCTGTAAAAAGTTTGACATTTTGAAGGTATTGATATTCACAGGAAAGATGTTAGATCTGAGGACTGTTTAACATGCTAGTACAATACTAGATGGGATTTGTTTAGTCTCGCCCTGCCTCTTCCCGCTATTTTAGAGCTAAAGCAGCAAAGCTAACCCTGCTAGCTTAGGCACACTGAGGCTACTGCCAAGAGGCCGCCCACCTCGCCGAGAAGTTCCCCTCATGTAACAAGCGTAGTCCCGCCGAAGCTGGGTTAACTAGAACTACAGACGGTTCCTTGTTGGGTTCTGCAAAAATACAGAAGTAGCCTTAAAGTACCGCTAGCTGTTAGCTGGTAAGGCTAAGCTGACGCCGATACTCCCTGCAAACAGACAGTAGGTACACGTCCCGAGATGATTCGATTAATTTTAGTCCAGACTTTATAATTAAATTGTCATAGTTTCATAAAATCGATTATTTCGTGGTGGATTTTAGGCTTAGTTTACCAGTAAAAGGAAAAACTAGCTGTGTTGATCCGAACGGCGGATCTCGGAAGTCTTGTAACGCTGTAAAACCTTTAGCCAGGATTTCCGGCTCCTTTCAATTTGCCCTATGCTGTTTTGTTTCCGTTTATTCTATTTCCGTTTTAAAAGTTTTCTACATCCAGAGTTTATGGTGTCTTTTGACCAAAAAAATCAGAAGTTATAAGCCCTCTTGCGCACTCAGAATATTTTAACCGTAGTTTAGCACCGAAGGCAGTAGAGGACCAACGGTTGAGTTATGCCCTGCCTCGCCACGCGCTGCTGTTGTGTTGCTAACTTATTTCAGCACAGGCCTGCTACTTATTTGCTGCACATGTACACTGCTTTCCTCAAATTTTTTTTATTGTCTATTCCCGTTTGACCTATTCGGGATACATAGTTATATTTGGTCAATAATTTTGTTTTTGAGGCCTAACAGTTGGCCCAGAATGCCAAAGCCTCGACCTCGCGTTAGTAAACCCTGCCCCGGAGTGAGGTGTCCCTGGCGGCCAATGAGGAGCCGAGGCTCAGAGGCCTTTCTACCATGGACAAATCACTGCTGGTCATATATGTGTGTTAACTTGGATAAAAAAATACAAGCTTTTATTTTTACTGAATACTCCATATTTCAAATTATAATTTGTAATGTTGCATTTTGTGCCACTTCACTAGTTCTACTTATTACTTTTATTTATTTGCTTAAAGAAAGGTGCTAGTTAAATAAAAGCTAATTCTAAGAATGATCCTGAATACTTCATTTTCACATAGGATGTTTGAGGACTAATAATTTAAGTAAATAAATACATTTCTTAAAGATTCATCTAACAGAAAGATGACGTTTCAAAACAAGTAACATAAAGTGACCTTTGATAAACATTGAATATAACATGTTTAGTAATGATCTAAAGCAATTATTCCATCATTTTCTATTATAAAAATCCAGTTTAATATTGCAGGTTTAATTATATGTAAAAATGCAAAACTTAAAAAGAATTAAAAACATTTTATTTTTTTTCTTTGTTTTTTTTTTATTTTTTTTTGTTTTTGTATGTGAGCATCTCAGTTTAATTGCCAGGGTTCCTTTAGGGCCAAAAATCATGGAATCATTATTTTATTTTAATAACCTTTATGTTTTTTTAAAGTTTAAAATCAGCCGTGATTAACCATTACAACATATTTAATTAGACCTTGAATTTATAATTTGTACATTCATTCTTTAGTTGACAATTTATGTTGTAACAAATAAAAAAAGAACTGTAGTAGTGGGAATTTTCCTATGTGCTGTACTTCTGGGTTAGGTGTGGTTATGTATTGATGGCACTGTAAAGTCCTTGTTTATAAGGAACCTTGTTCATTTTATGGTGGACATTATTCTTTCTCAACAACCCCTAAAAAAGCTATCCTCCTAAAAGAGGCCTAGAATAGTTTCATTTTATACATCAAAATTAAATTATGCTTGTTAGTTGCCTATGCAAATTCTCAGTCGTCTGGGTCATGGCAGCCACAACAAGGAGTGAGTTCTTACAGCTTTCACTGGAGAAATCTTCCTGTTTATTTATGATTTATCAAACAAAATGAAGACCAGAAGACAGAGAAGTTTGGTAAATAATAGGCAAAAAAGCACCCCATACACATGAGAACTAAAAGAAATATATATTATTTATATGATTTGATATAATATTTTGAGCCCTTAACAGCTAAAAAGGTGCGTTAAAATCATTTGCTGATATTAGCAAGGTAAAGAGGGGATTTGTTTTTCCTGATAAAAAAAAAAAAATTGAAATGTATTGATCTCACATTAGAGAAATTTACCTCTGCATTTAACCCACCCCCTTTGGGAGCAGTGGGCTGCTATCATGGGGTGCCCGGGGAGCAGTGTGGGGTTAAGGGTCTTGCTCAGAGACCCAGAGTGGCAGTCTGTGGGAGTGGGGCTCGAAATGAAAACCTCGGGATTCTAAGCTCTATGTCCTAACCACTTGGCTGCCACTCCGCCTCAACTAATATATAATTGAAATATACAATAGGAGTGATTTTGTTTCCTTTAATCCACACATGGCTTTAGCAATGACTGCTATTTTTGGTCTGTTTTACATAAATTTAAACACCTTTGGTGGTTAAAACCAACTATTTGGAGCCACTAGGGGGCACCACAGTTCAACATGTTGTTTCAACTTGTGTGTAATTACCTTAAACAGTTTGAAGCACCTTGATGCTAAAATTACTCATCATCATCCTTTAAGTTGCCATTAGCAGTGTTTTTTAGCTTCATAACCAGCAATTTGATTTAAAAAAAAAAACACATTAGTATGAAAGTTGAAGCTGAAACTATTTAGCAGAACAGACAAGTATTGAAATAATAGATAAATTGGTAATTAAATAATTTAAGCATAGTTTTAAAAACAAGCCCTTTGCTGTAAGAACAGCTCACTTATAGCAGTTCAAATAAGTCTGATTATTAAATTTTTAATCAAAAAAAGGTGTCTAATAAAAAAAAAAAAAATGATAAGCAAAATAAATGTCAGTTAAACTTTGTTATTATTTGTGGTTTACCTTTTCTGATCCTTTCTCTGTATAAAGTTTCAGTGAAATTAATCTGAATCAAACACTTTATCTTCTGTCTTCCAGGGATCTATCAGTCAGGATGGCTAAAAGCGAGCCAGAGGAGATGATAGAGATAGAGATAGATGAACGGGAGAAACAAGCATGCCTAGAGGAAGGGTAAGCATAAAAACTGATGTAAACACAGCTGTGATTGCACAGAGCGAACATATTTTTGTTCTAACAGTTTAACATTTGTAGCATTGAGGAGCAGACAATCACTGCATCGGATTTAGTTCAACAAGACATTGACATCAACGAGCCGATTGGGAATCTGAAGAAACTCTTGGAGCCTCGGGTCCAGTTCTGTCTGGATGGATTCGACATTTGCTTACAAGACATTCAGGTAAGATCGGTTTGTGATTAAATAATCTCGTATTTTAAAGCTAGTATTTCAACTGCTCTTGTTTTTTTTTTCCAGTGTTCTAATTTGTTGCCTTCCTTGTTTCAGCTTCACCCGGATCACAGCCTCTTTGATCAGGGAGTGAAGACAGATGGCACCGTGCAGCTCAGCTTGCAGATTATAACCAGACCAGGTACAAGTTTAACCAGACCTCATTAAAATGATTCTCCTGTAATCCAGATTTTAACAAAATCATCACATTAAGTGTTTCTTTTTTTGCCCAGGAGAAGAGAAGCTGAACATTTTGGAAATAGTGAAGCCAGTAGAAACAGTAGAAGTAGTGATTGACCCGGATGCTGCAGGAGAAGATGGGACAATGGTGGAGGAGGGGCAGCTGATTGCGGTGGAGCGGTCTTCCCTGACTGATGAGACCTCAGAGCAGGTGACACGATGGGCCGCGGCGTTGGAAGGTTATCGCAAAGAGCAGGTTCGGCTAGGAATACCATACGGTAAGAAACGCCTTCACCAGAATCCCATTAGCAATTAACTTACCATTAGCGGTACGGATCTTAAACGTCTCGCTCTTCCGCAGACCCCTTGCTCTGGACAGCTGATCAGGTGATCCATTGGGCCGTTTGGGTCATGAAGGAGTTCAATATAGACGAGATGGAAATCGGCAGCATCCACATCCCTGGACGAGAGCTCTGCTCTTTCAGCCAAGAGGAATTCCTTCAGAAAGTGCCCAACGGCGAGATACTGTGGAGCCACCTGGAGCTGCTGCGCAAATGTAAGCTAGCTGGAAGGAAATCTAAGCACTGGGACGGAGGTCTCTTATTTACTCAATTCTGTAAAGAGTAACTACTTGTATTTATCTCAGATGTGTTGGCCAGCCAGGACCAGTCAGGGGGGGACGCCACCGTCACTATTGATCAACGTAAGTAAACTGGCCTGTGTTTGTGTTACTGACATAACGTAGGGTCTGATGAGGTTTTAAAAAATCAAAAACTTTAATTTCTATTTTTCTTTAACGTTTTAAACCTGTCCTTTCACTTAAAGAGACACCTCTGATCTATTGTATTCTGCATAACTTCTCAACAGTTTAGTAGAGAAATAAGCCAAATTGGATTATTTGTTGGAATTGAAATTCCATATTCAGTCATTTAAGTTAGGGATGGGCATTTAATTGCATTTGCAATATAATCACAATTTAGAAAAATGCAATTTTCAAATTGCAGAAGAACTCAAATGTAGTCACATTACAAGAGTAAGACCCTAAATTTCTCCCTCTAGCCATTTAGGTGATGGTATTACAGTTTAAGTGGGTTTTACGCCACAAAGTAGGGAAGAGAGAGTTGTAGCTAGCATGCAGATCCATGCATGATAGTAGAACTAAGAACTTTTTAACACAAAGGTTACAGCAAAGTAAAGCAACTATGGATTATGGTCTAAATGTTTGTGTTTAATGCAAAGAAAATCCCTAGAAAATTGTGATATTGGTTGAAAATAATAGTTTAGCTTTTTGGCAAAATCATTCAGCCATAATTTAAATGGACTTTTGCTA